CAACAAGAGTTCACACTGAGAGAGAAACAGAGCCTTCACTACATTATATTATGGAATTAAAAATGAGTTCAGGCCGCTGATACAAGAATGTTCAAGTGGTAAAGAAGCATGGGAAGTTCTACAGAAGCAATTCGAACCCAAAACAAGAGCAAGGATAATTCAGTTACTAGATGAATTTTTTAGTATTAGATATATGCCAAATGAAGAAATAGGATTATTCATCGCAAAGGATAAGAATGACTGCAAAGAAGTTGGCTGAAGCTGGTCACAACTTGGCAGATCTTTTTAAAGGATTTCCAGGCAATAAGGAGATTACCCCAGGAATACTCCGGCATTGTACAGTTGATCTATATAGTGGAAGGATGAAGATTTTACCTGGAAAGAATTGCTGAAGAATTGGTAAGGGAAGAAAGCCGACTTCGCCACGTAAACGCCGATTTAGAAGACAGCAAGGTAAGTGTGTTTAATACTATTGATTCAAATGCAGGGAAAGATAAAGTTGAAAATAAGACTAAATCTAAGAAAAAAATGGGGAATATGAGAATAGGACCTTGTTTCAGATGTCATAAATTTGGGCACTTAATCGCTCAATGTAAAGAAAATGTAAGTAAAAATCAGAAGTTTAAAATAGACGACAAAAACGGACAGTTTAAAAGATAAAGAATTAATGTTAGTAGAAAATTATGTAACAACTACAGATAAAGGAGGTAACGCAGATAAATTTAATTGGGTCGTAGATACTGCAGCTACAACTCATTTCTGTAATAACAGAAATTTAATGACAAATTTTGAAGAAATAAACGATACACATATGTCTTTAGCTGTAGGAAATTGTGAAAGTACTAGGAAAGGGTACCGTCAAATTTGTAGTAAAAGTAGGCAATGGAATAAATTGGATTGAGTTAGATAATGTGTTATATAATCCAAATCTAAGAAGAAATTTACTATTGGGAGCAAGGTTAGAAAAGGCAGGTGCTCATTTTGCGATTTAAGATGTGGATATACTTTAATAATTGGGATAGGTTATGCTACGCTAAACGATATGACGGATTTTATCACGTAAAACCATTTAGATATGCAACAGGTAAAAGGGAAGCTGGTTACCGTACAGAAATTGGAAAGTTAAATAAAGTAGACGATGCGATGCTATGGCATCGGAGATTTAGCCACGTAAATTTTGATTATATTAAGAAAACTAGTAAGAATCAAAGTGTAAAAGGGTTACCAGAAATTGAAAAACCAATAGAGAGGTGTCAATCGTGTATTATTGCTAAATCTAGTAGAATAACTTTTAAAACTGTTCTGAAAAGATTGGATAAACCATTGCAGTTGGTTTATTTAGACGTTTGTGGCCCACTACCAGTTCCATCTAAGGGTGGGAGTAAATGTTTTCTTGCTATTGTAGATGACTATAGTAGATTAGTAACAGTGAATTGTATGAAAAATAAAAATGAATCGTTCTACAATTTTAAGAATTATCATAGGCAAATGGAAAGACTGACGAATAGAAATTAATAATAACGCACCGATAACGGTGGGGAAGTTCTGTAACAGGCAATTCGAAGGGCACTTAGCCGAAAATGGAATTAGTGTTGAACGCACAAACGCGTACACCCCAGAAGAGAACGGTGTGTGTGAACATTTTAACCGAACGGCATTAGACGCAGTTAAAGCTATGCTTAATGATGGTAAAATGGGAAAAGAATGTGGGCAGAAGCTCTTGGCTGTTTCGTACATACGTGGAACAGAGTATGTCATAAAAGCAACTGAACCCCTTATGAAATGTTCCTAAATAGAAAACCCAGTGTTGTTTATTTTAAAATATTTGGTTGTAAAGCCTATGTTGGCGTGCCAAAACAGATTAGAAAATAATTACAAATGAGGTGCAAAGAAGGAATCATGGTAGGAATATGCGAAGGAAACTAGGGGTTATAGGATATGGCTGCCAGAAGAATGCAGATTAATAGAAACCTGTAATGTGAAGTTCGATGAAAAACTGTATGCACAAATGGCATCCTGGAACAGAAATCAAACCTAAATTTAAAAGACTAGAGGAATCTGAACTATTAGCAGAAATCAGATGAAGAACAGGAAATTTCTAGAGAAGAAATAAAGTTGTCAGATGACAAATCTACTCCGAAAGAAGTATCAGACTTAAACTGGCAAAGAAAAGCAGTTAAAGACCAGATGGAGCATGTACAGACATATATTATTATGTAGAGGGAACAGACACCCGTTTTAGATCTTATAATGATATTGAAAAGTATTACGAGGCAAGAACTATTAAATTTGAAAAAGATAAGTTTGATTTTAGTGGAAAAAACAAATACTCAGGGAAAGTTAATTTTGTAGAACAGGAGACTAGCTCCGTGTCTGAAGAGGCAAATTCCGTAGAAATAATTATCCCACAAAATTTTAAAGAAGCACGAAAATCAGTAAATGCCGAAGAATGGGATATGGCAATGAAAGAAGAAATTGACACAATGAAGAAAAGAAAGGTTTGGGATTTAGTCAAAAGCCAGAAAATAAAACTGATAGGAAACAAATGGGTCTATACGCTAAAAAGAAATGAAAAGAATCAAGTGGTTAGATACAAAGCACGTTTAGTAGCACAGGGATTCAGGCAGAAAAGAGGTGAAGATTTTGATGACGTTTACAGTCCTGTAGTAAATTTTTCAATCATAAGAATATTTTTCACTATCCTGGTATGTTTATATGGATGGACTAATTGTCAGTTAGATGTAAAGAATGCATATTTATATGCAAACCTAAATGAGAAAATATATATGACCCAACCAGAGGGATTTATCGAAGAGGAAAATAAAGTGTGTTTACACAAGGCCATTTACGGTTTACATCAAAGCGGCCGTGAATGGTTTTGTGAATTTGAAAGTACTTTAGAAAACCTACATTTTAAGAAAATACAATGATGTAAATGTGTTTATAAGAGTTCAAATGTAATTCTCTTGTTATATGTAGATAATATTGTGATTATTAGTAAAGATCAATATAGTATAGATAAAGTAATTTCACAGCTGAGTAAGTTTTTTTATCTTAAAGTATTAGGCAAAACTAAAATGTTACTTGGAATTGAATTTATAGAGAATGAGAATGGGGTTTTTATACATCAGCAAAAATATATTGAAGAAATTTTTGAAAAATTTAAACATTTCCAGATACTAATAACTTCACTTCCCATGGCTAAAGGCACTATTCTTACAAAATTAGATTGTCCATCTACAAGTGCAGAAATTGCGGAAATGCATACATTACCCTTTAGAAATCTGTTAGGATGTTTAGTTTTTGTAGCTAACAGGACAAGGCCTGATATTATATATGCAGTGAATATCTTATCACAAAATTTCAGGAGAATCCTGGAATTAGGCATTGGGAAGCATTGTTGAAATTGCTTGGTTATCTCAATAGTACTAAATTATATAAATTAAACTTATCGAAGATTAAACATCTAAATTTATATTGTTATTCAGATGCTGATTATGCAAGTAATAGAGATGACCGCGTGTCCATGGGAGGATTTATATTATATTTAGATGAAGTACCGGTAATCTGGAAAACTGTTAAACAAAAATGTGTGTTTATCAACCATGGAAGCGGAGTATATCGCCTTATCTGAAGCAGCGAAGGAATTAATGTGGACAAAAAATGTCTTACAAGATGAAATTTTAAAGTTTAATTTAAGAGAGTGTAAACTATTTTGTGATAACAAGTCTGCCATTGATTTTTCTAGATCGCCAATAGAAAATCGCCGAACTAAGCACATAGACGTAAAATATCACTTAAAGACTAGTAAATGTTAATAGTTAGAAGACTAGTAAATGATGGAGTGTTTGACCTTGAATTTATCACCAATAAATTAAATACTGCCGACTTATTTACAAAAGCAGCGACTGCTGTTAATTTAAGAAAGTTTTGTTTAGATGTTTTCAGTGTTTAAAGACAATAAGTGTTTTCGTATAATAGAATTCAACTATGAACTTCTGTGTAAATTTTCTTTTTGTATTTGCATGGGGAAAAGAGGGCCGTTTGTTGGCTTTAGTTTTCCACATGCAAATTTTGATCGGAGGTAAGCTAACGTGGTTGCCGCTGATTGGCCGATGACGTCAAGATCGGCGGGTTGGCCGAGTATAATATACATGTACGCCGGTATCGGCAAATCTAGTTTTTCTTGTTCTCTTGTGTGATTATCAGTTAGCATTATGCTAGTTTTTCTTTCACTTAATGATTTTAAATGTAAAGGCTACAGTGTTAGCTCTTTTATTTTAATTTACAGAATAAAGCATGAATTTTATTTAGATTAGTCTTAGCTTTATTTAAGGGAAGCAAAATATGCTTTGCCTTTATCACCACTGCCAACACTGCATGGCATATTACCAGATTTAAACTGATGATCTATAATCTGGAATCGCCAAAGTCCCGACGAGTCCGGATTAAAGACTTTTGACTGTATTTATATAAAGAAAAAATGCCATTAAAATTGCTACCTGAATTTTCTGAAATGCCTAACTTTCCTCTTCCTCCCACATTCCAAATTCAATGTACATTATATACAGTTGAGCATTAAGCAGTCATAGTTATCCTGATTATATTTTTAATACATTCTTTACCACACTTTTTGTTTGGGGAGGAACATGGGTAACCATGACTGTAGGTATTCCTTAGGTAACCGAAATGTTTTTCTTAACAAATATGCTTTGCTTATTAGATTTAAATTAAAAGCTAGTGAAGCAAACCACACTGTTGATGAGGATGAATCATAACGAACCTCTGATTATATAAGATCTGCATTTCAATATGGTTGGATGGTAACAGACATTTCAAGCACATTTCTTTGTGAGGAATGCTACATTCTTATGCTACAATGCATAGAAAGAAATGCCATAATTTTACATTTCCTCCTTATGCAGCTACAAGACCCTTCCTGTATATACAGAGAGTCTGTTGCATATCATGGCACATATTTTAAAGAGATTTAAACCTACCTCGAGTGGGAACATAATGGACAGTGTATGCTTGAATTGGAGATGTAGCTGGAGAGGCAACAGGTTCCCATGATAAAAGAATGGCACTGCTTGACTTACTAAAGGCTTTCAGGCCAGATGGTGGCTGAGGCTGATCACCTATAAGCACAAGTAAATTCAAAAATGAAATTAAACAGTTACAGAAATCAAATACAAATTAAAAAGGGAATGAAACTACATCTATAAATTCTACAGGACAATTGAAATTTCCATATTGCAAGTTTATTTTTTCTAATTTAAATTCCACACAAATAAATCATATTCCTTCAATTTATTGGCGGTAAAAATAAAGAAAGTAAGAGATATAGAAAATAAAGAAGAAAGTAAAAGGAAAGAAGAAAAAAAGAGGGGGAAAAATGCCAAACAATAAGTTAAATACTTAAAGAGATTGATATAAAAAATTGTTTTTCAATTTTTACACCTCCAGATACGAGAGATTCCAGCAAAGAAAGGTTAAAAAAAAAAAAAAAAAAAAAAAAGAGTGCAATGATCAAAGATGGTAAAGAATTTTTCTTTTTGAATAAATAAAAATTCACATTTACTTACTAGATGCATTTACCAGAAGTCTAGCAGCAGATGTATTGACTCCAGCTGCATTGGAAGCTACACACTGATAGATTCCTGAATCTGTTGTAACAGTCTGTGAAACTACTAAAGTGTTACCAGGTTTGAGCTTTATTCTACCATTGATATACAGTTGTTCACCATCTTTCATCCAATGTATAGAAGATTCTGGAATGCCTTCTACTTCGCAATCAAAACGCACAGTTTGAGATGTAGGTATTATCTGGCTTAAAGGAACTTTTAAAAATTTTGGTGGCACTGAAAGAAAATTGTTTTAAACACAAAAATGAATATTCATTAATGTGTATAAATACAATAAAATTCCAAGAAGCCTATCCAGACATTTTCAACAAATCAGGTAATCATATTTCTTTTATCTGTAGACTAAAGACATACAGTGATAACCCCTCCCCCACCCTCCCGCTTAAAGATACATATAGACTCGTACCCAGAGGAAAACAAGACAATAGTCAATATGAGAATGACATTTTTACAACTTTAAAAATGCACATGTAAAACATATCTTTTTAAAATTAACTATTTCTTAGTTTTTAATTAATCATTAACTTAATTCCCAAAATATAAGAAAATAAATAATTAAAATTACTTCTTTTAAATTACGTGCATATTTAACAAGAAATTTTCATTTAATTACTCAAGCGGAAATATCATTAAATCTTCTAATATATCACTGGATCCAGTATTTAAATCAGGGCTGTGGAGTTGGAGTCGAACAGATTTTGGGGTAAAAGGAGTCGCAGCTATAGTCGCTAAAAACAGTTCGACTTCGACTCCAGTTTTTGTTGGACAGTTCGAATTTGAAACGAAATTAAAATGAATTAAAAAAAAAAATAATGAAAAGCTGAGTTATTATTTTTATTTATGGACTTATTTTTATTATTTTTATTGACATATTAATAAATAAATACAGTCAAAAGTCATTAATTCGGACACTCATAATCCAGAATGATCTATAATCCGGACCTCAAAGCTACAAACTTTCTATCAACCATCGCGTTGACACATTCGCATAGGTGTTTATGCATGTGTGTAAGACCTTTACGGCTGCGAATATGCGTGTGCGCATGCGCATAATACGTTTAGGCATGCACGTTTAATGTATAACGGACGGTATAAGCTAAGCTAAAATTATCTAATTCAGTTAATGTTGCAGATTGCATTTATCCTTAACCTTCGAATTGGATCCGGCTTATTATTTTTTGAAGACTGTTAGAACAATTTTATAAAAGTAAGCTTGAACTTTCGATTATGTCAAATAGAATTTCCGATATATATTTACTAATATGTAAAGGATCTACAAAGCGAAAGTATGTTTCGAACTCCATTAAACAAAAAGTGGAATTGCTGCAAAAAAATGGATAAAGGCATATCCTTTGTTTTTCCTTCAGAGCAGATGTTTTTATTTTATTTGGCTTATAATTCCTTACTAAATGTAATATTTCATCTCGATGTACTCCGTCTTTGATATGATTTAAATCAAATTCCTGGTCATTATAATTCGCTTCCAATAATGAAGAAAATGAAACAGAGGTTAAGTAAAACTGAAAAATTTCGATTGACAAATTAGTCGGTATTCTCGACACAGCAATTATAGGACTTGAACATCGGAACTTTATAACTGAACAAAAAATTATGTCTGTTTATAGAATTAAAGAGAAAGTATTATCACATAAAACGAAGCAACTTAAACAACTTACATCAAAAGAAATGTTTAATAAAGTAAACAAATAAATATTAAGTTTTTTTAATACCCTTTAGATCATAATTGTTCTTTATTTCATAAATTATGGTTTAATATTTTTAATTTTATAATTTCTGCATGTCATCTTACCAGATTTAAACTGATGATCTATAATCCGGAAAAATCAATAATTCGGAATCGACGAGTCCGGATTAACGACTTTTGACTGTATAAGGAAGGAGAATGGATGTGATATTTGCCATTAGTGATTAAACTGATTTATTTAGTTACAAATTTCACTGGTAAATTAAGGTAAGCAGCAATAGAAGCAAGAACTCCCAAAATTAATGCCATTCTTAGGAAGCGAGCAGGAAAAGGTACAACTATTGATCAAGCAATGAGATAAGGAAGATGATAAAGATGTTATTAGAATTAAATACTTTTTTAGAAGATGTAGATAACCCTAACGTTTCACTAACAGAAAGACTGTAGAATGATTGGAAACTCTTTTTTTCTACACTCTATACAGCCACAGAAAAGCTGCAATCTGAAGAATTGACAGGAGGCGAGAATGGAAGAATGTGATGTTTGTTCCTTCTGAAATGGAATGTTTATTGCAGAAGGAATCATTTCTTCAATGAAGAAAAGATAAACTAGTTTGCTAGACAATGAGATCTTGCTGGGGTCAATATATGTAGATCCGAAACACTGAATTTTCTTGGATGACAAACAAATTAAAAAGGCAAAGAAAGCCATCTATGAACTTTCATTAAGAATGAAATTATTCTCAGAACAACTGGAGAATTTGAATCAGGGCAGCCAAATTGCAGATATATCCTCTTCCAAAGATGAATTAGATTGAGAAATATTTTTCGATAATATAATATTGAAGAGGCTAAGCGAATGAAAATAAAGAACCAAGAGCCTTTAGATATAAAAAATACAAACAAGATTTCTACATGGCCTTTGAAGAAATAGAGAAATATGATTGTGCTTGCAAGACAGCTCTTTCAGAACTATCTGAATTAAAAATCTAACCTGAAAAGTAATTTATAAAAACTTCTGAATATCTATCCTGAAAGTTAAAAGAAGTAGCCCTAACAGTAACAGCTTTTCCTTCAAGTCAGTGTGGAAAGACTCTTCTCGGCTCTGAAGTTTATATAGGATCTATTGTCCTTTATCAAAGATCTTGCCAAAGCTGTACTGTCTTAGAAATTACTAATGCCAGATTTTCCATTTCATAATATAAATAATTTGCTATGCCATCAATTTTTTTTTCTATTCAATTTTTTTTTTTTTTTTGTAATTAGCATCTATTACTTCTTTTATATTAAAAAAATAAGCTGTAACTCATGTGTATATGTTTACGTATATATATGTGAGGGAGTTGGAGTCTAAAATTCCAGGAGTCAGAGTCAGAATCGGTCATTTTCTCTACCGACTCCACAGCCCTGATTTAAATCACAAATAGTGATGAGACAGTACTACCGAACTGGGTATTTTGTAACAGGTCTTAGTGTAATGGGTGTGAAAATCGGTACACAATCCAAGTACCCGTTACTTCAGTACCGAAATCGGTACTTTTCAGTATTCGTTACTTCTGTACCGAAACGGGTACTTTTCGGTATTCGTTACTTCCGTACCGAAACGGGCACTTTTTGGTATTCATTACTTCTGTACCAAAACGGGTACTTTTCGGTATTCATTACTTCTGTACCGAAAAGGGTGCTTTTTGGTACTCACTACTTTGTAAAGAAAATATGCGTCTCTTCTCGGTATTTTGGTATTCGTTACTGGAGGATCGCTGAAGGTTCAGCTCCCTTCGGTTTTGGTACGAGGACAGTAGTATCTGGTTGTATTTACGAAATGGTGATATGCGCTCCTTGTGTCCATGAATGACCTTGAAATAGGGCATGGAATGGCAAACGCGAAAGGGGGGAACTTCTGTTCCGTTCGTTATGGAGACTAAAGTTTGAGGATAGTATAATTAATTGCCTTTGTGTGCGCGGGAGGACGAGTGTGAAATAGTGGAAATTTTTCGAAAGGCCATTCGTTCGTAGTGTGTGTGTGTGGGGGGGAATAGTAGCAGTTGGAGTCACTGTCGCCGGCACTGCTCGCTTGTGATTGGATGTCGGTATAGTCAGGAGGGAAAGGGAGGGGAGCGCTAGATGATTTGCAATCCGAATTGTGCATGTTTTAATTTTTCATCGTTTGTAGATTTTTCATCGTTTCATCGTTTGGAGAAAATCTGCGTGGATCTGAAATGATTGATTTGGGAAATTGCTGCCGTTGTTGGATTGGTGAATAGAATTAACTACCAACTAGATTACTTCCTTTTCCTCAACATATTTTTAGCATAAATTATGAAAAATATTTTTCGTTTGCTTGTTTAATAGGGCAACGTAAATCTTATGATCCTTTTTGAATAAATATGATCCTTTTTTTATCCCGCTGTACCTGCTTCAGAACATGTCACAGCATCTAGTGGATCACTAAGCCAATCAACATAAAATACAGACGCTATTTTAAACTTTTCTAATGAAAGAACAAAGATAACTGACCAACTTATGATAATTCTTCCCCCTTCTAAAGACAGATTTTCATCTCGCCAAAAACTAAACCCAGGTCACGTGTCTAACGCAGGATTGCCAACGCCTGCTTACCCCCCAGGCGTGATGACGCTCCTCCGATAGGAAAAGAGGTTAAATTTTGAACCTGGCAACTTCTTCTTTCTTTTTCTTTCTTTCTTTTTTCTTTTTTTTTTTTTCCGAACTCCCTCTGGAGGGGAGGGGGAAACTATCGAATGGAACATCGGAAATTATCCAGACATGTTTATGTATTATGTCCTTCCCTTTTTTCCTTTGCATTTTTTGCTTTTTCATGCCTGATTAATAGAATCATTACGCAATATTCCACTTACCCTTTTCACAGCGTAGTACTGATTTTAGAATTTGCAGATGGAGTGAACAGCGGAAGTCGTTAATAGACTTTTTTTTATGTTTATCTGACGATGCTGATGACCATCTCCCAACTTCGTCACTTTTCCCATAAGATTTATTCTTGTCTCGTACTGGTGAGTCTCGTACGTTTTTAGAATTGCTTAGTCTCTATCAGTTTCTTACGTCTCAGGTTAAAAAAAAAAAAAATTGAATTACAAAAGTCTAGTAAGAAAAGGAAATTCAGCTTGGTTTGGCAGACTTTTCCTATACTAAAGAAGACCGAAAAAGTTATGTGTGAATTGTACGACCTTTATCCATCAAGGTGGTTCAACAGGAAATTTAAAAAGAACATTTGAAAGAAAGCATTCTGTGTAAATTTGCACGAGAAACGCGCTTTGCAATCAAGATGTTGATGATATTGTGCGCTCCAGCCATTCTGTCGTCAAGCCCTCAGATGGTGGGCAACCATGCACATCCAGCAGACTACACAACTTCAGACAGGAAAATGCTTGTGATAATTGTTGGTGTATTTTCAAAAAATCACAGTCCAGCATAATGCAGTTGTCCAAGAAATACGATGTATGTACATAAAAAAAAATCTGATTGTATACC